AGTAGAGTATATATACTGAGGTTGTCATACATAGCCTATTCTATGCAAGATGAATGTATCAGCTTATATTCTTTATGACTGTGCCAACTACCCTAGGGTAGAATGAGGATTTAATGTGACTTGTATTGTTGAGGTATGGACTTGTGTTTCTTTTATTTAATGTTTCATTCCTAGGACTCTAGAGTTGGGGTTTAACGATTCACAATTTGAGACATGGTATATATATGAGGGTTTCCTTATTTGGATTATTTCACTCGACGTACTAATTCTCATGTTGTGGATTTCTAAATCTCAATCTCTTTTTTTAGTTCACGATAGATGGTTTTATATTTATATGTACTAACTTATTTACAAATATACTCCCAACCCCCTCCCCCTAGGATGGTGGAGATGATCTCGCTAGCACTTTGACGCTCGTTGTTTTCCTTTTTTTAGGCAACGAGTCAGGCGCACGGAGAGTCGCAGGTTGATGGTGATGCAGTTGAGCTTCATCATTATTATGTTATTATATGTTCAGAGCTCCATAATAGTTTATTATTTATTTACAGACATTTAGAGTTGTATTATATTTTTGGAAAGGCAGAGTTCCTTAGTAGCATTTCCATTGACTCTATGTATTGAGACATTTTACATTTGTTCTAATATTAGTTGTGTAAAACTCCAAAAGTGATAATATAATTAATATTTGATTAATTATAATAAGTAGATATTTATTATGATAAACATCATTTCATGGTGTATGAGTACACTAACAAGTGTTTTGAGTATAAACAAGTCAGTAGATGAGAAAGAGACGAGTCAAAAATATGCACAAATGCAAAATCTCGAGGGGTTGGAAAATTCCAATCCGGTCGACCACAGTCCGATCGACAGCCACTGTTGACCGCGATACCTTCATGCTGTTTTTTCTGTTTTGACTTGGTTTCGGGTTTTGGAGGCCCATGTTCATTTTCCCTGATGTATATATATCAATTATTCATGCGTTTTTTAGTATTTTGAAACCCTAGCAGTCACCAAACTCCCCCATAAACCCTAATTTGCTTTTTGAGGAAGATTCAAAGGCTTTTGAGCGAGATTTCGGTTTGTTTTTTAGCTTTTGGCTCAGGAATCTACCTTGGCTTTGCATCTTGCATGTTTTTCAACAAGTCTCAGGTGAGTTTTATCTCCGCTAATCCCTCTCCCTGTTTTAAAATATTTTTAAAGAGTTTTTAATAAGTTTTATAGAGCCTAATTAATTAATTTGTGCATAAAAAGTAGATCATTTATATTATGTGTATAAAGACTAAGTCTTTTCATATTAAAGAGATTAAGAATAAATTTATAGAAGTGTTTTAAGATCTGAAAATGATTAATAATGTTCTTTATTTGAATTTAGATGGTTTGTTCTTCGTTTTAAGATTTCGTGCATGATTGAGGGTTTAAATGTGATTTATTATGCAAATAATCATGTTTTATATATTGAAAATCTTCCCAGAGATGTTAATCTGTTGTTTTCAATGTTTCATGCAAGTTTCATATTATATTAAACAAGGTTAGGCTGATGTTCCTATTCACTGTTGTATGATCATTTGGAAGCATATTCGGAAATAGGAAGATAAAACCTATTATCGTAGAACTGTTGAGTAAGAAAATTGAACCAACATGTAAATGTGCGAATCTTATAAAAGTATCGTTAGTTCATGTAACTAGAATAGGGAGATAAAAGCTATTACCATAGAGCAATTGAGTAAGAACCTTACAAGAGTATCACGATTTGCACGTAGAGTTATATATATATTCACATGTCATACACTTGCAGCTCACGAGGGAGGTGAGCTACCAGCTCAACTCCATTACTCTCTCTCTCTCTATATGTATATATATATATATATATATATATATATATATATATATATATATATATATATATATATATATATATATATATATATATATACACACAGTTGTACTTTTGCTCCTATGTTAGATTACCCATGAGTAGGGTACATCCTTTGATATATGACATACATGATATGGCCCATGGTGATTATGAGTTGGGTGATATTCTCTTATTATTGCACTACTACTCGAGGGTATATCGAAATGTGACATTGTTTTTATATGGTTAAGGTTTAGAGTATTTCTTTTGAGTGTTGTTTTCATTCATAGAGTTGGAATTGGTATTTAGGGATTCACAATTTGAGATATGGTATATACATGAGGGTTTCCTTGTTTGAATTATTTAGCTCGACATTCTAATTATCGTGTTGTGGATTTCTAAATATCAATCACTATTTAGAGTTATATGAATGATTTTATACTTATATGTACTGACTCTATTTTCTTATATACTCCTACCCCTTCCCCTTGGGAGTGGTGGAAATGAGCTCGCTAGTGCTTTGACGCTCGTTGTTTTCTCCCCTTTCAGGCAGCGAGTCCGGTGCACGGAGAGTCGCAGGTTGACGGGATTGCATTTTAGATTCCATCTAGATATTATTATATTTGTAGTTATCTTAGAACTCCACATTTAGTTGTTTATTTTTAGACTCTAGACTTGTATTTTATTTTGTAGAGGCCGAGTGCCTTAGTGAGATTACATTTGACTCATTGTGTTGAGATTTATTTCAGACTCAGAGATATTTTTATTTTATTTCAGTTAGGCTCATTTATTGATTATTCTTATACTTCTTCTATGCATATTTGATATTGTACTATTTCTATTACTTGCTTGTTTTATAGCTTAACCTCTTTGTTGATTCTATTTGAGAGATAGTAACTGTGATGGTAAAACATGACGTAGCATGGTGTTGGTGCTTAGCAGGTTTGACAATCCGGGTTTCACCTTGGACTGTAGCCTTACGTGAACCCTGGGGCGTCATAAGTTGTATTTTATTTATTTTCGTTGGGAACATGATTATTGACTATTTCTAGATATCTATTCTTTATATATCTTGTTCATTACATTATCACCTTCATTTGTCTATTTTGTACCTACACCTGTTGTTTGATTCCACTAAAGAGATATTACTTTGATGGTGAAACATGTTATTACACAATGTAGGTGCATGGAAGGTTTGATATCATTGAGTTCATATTTGACTGCATCCTTGTGTGAAACCAGGGGCATCACAGTTGGTATCAGAGCTCTAGTTCTAGTATTCTTAGGATTATTCATATGTTGAGTCGTGGAGCTAGGATAGAGTTTCGTAGGAATCATGTATAGAGTCCGTTAGGAATTACTAGAATGAGTGAGGACGTTATATATATATATATATATATATATATATATATATAACTTGGTTTTTTTGCAAAAAACCAAATCAACAGAGGCGGTAATAAATGGTCTCGTGAACTGCTCGTGACCTTATCTTTCAGGCCCTCTCTCTCTCTCCAAAATCGGAGCTCCCCTAAATCGTCACCTCCAGAGATCGGTCCCTCCCTTCCTCCTCTGCCAACGTCAACCCCCCGCCCCTAAAATCAGAGCCCCAAAATCGGAGCTCCCCTAAAATTAGTGTTTATTATGGTCATCACCCACTGCTTATCCATCCCCTCCATGCCGATCTCCGCCTCTCCTGCCCTCATCACGAGGGCCACAGCGTCGCCATCTTCGAGCACGGCACCGGGGTCGGAGAAACCTGGATCTACAGTCTCGAAACCAAATCCGACCCGCTATGTTTGGATCCGACCTGGTACGTTGTGCATACGAGCCTCTACGACTCCCTGCGCAGTAACCTCCCCAGAGAATGCATGGGATTCTTTGATTACCCCTTCGTCACGGTCTAAGATGGCCGTGAGGGCAACAGCAGGGGGTTTCCCCGTCATCAGGAGGTTCTGAGGTACCTTGAGGATTTTGCGAGGGATTTTGAGGTGCTGGAAATGGTGAGGTTTAGGACGGAGGTGATGAGGGTTGAGATGGGGGAGGAAGGGGTTATTTCTGGAGCATTGCTTTACATACGAGATGATTTCTCAGAGGTTGACAGGAAAACTTGGTTATAGGTAAAACCCCCTTACATTCCCTGTGTTTCTTGCATACATGCTTCCGCAACACCGAAATAAACAAATTTGGTTGTAACTACAAAATCAGGAGCTTGACAATCAGGAGCTGGAATCAGGAGCTTGACAAACTTTGATTTGATTTTTTTAATAAAATGTAATGCTCAGCATGAACTGGGTAAATACATTGTTCTTGTCTTGCTGTTTAATGCTCTCAGTTGTTGCTATTTATGTTATCAGGAGCTTGACAATCTTTGATTTGATTTGGTTTAGTGTTAAAACTTCTTATGTACTGAAGCTGGTTTGCTTGTAAGGTGGGTTGATTATGTACTCAATGATGTTTGTATAACTGAAGCTGGTTTGTAAGGTGGGTTGGTTTGTAAGCTGAAGTTTGTCATTGATTTGGTTGTAACTGAAGCTGGTTAGCATTGATTTGGTTTCATAGTGTTGAAAAAGTGAAATACTCTCTTTACTTCACCTTAGTTGTATCATTGGGTCATTTGTTGGTTTAGATGATGAGATTAGAGCATATTCTCTTTGTTGTAATCTGTTCTCATTCTGTAACTGAAGCTGAAGCTGAAGCTAACTTCCTAATTAAGAAAAATCAGCTATCGACAATTCCAGACACGCATGACATCAACTTATTTTATTGAGAGATGATGATAATCAAATGCGCCTTGAAATTCCAGTGTTTTGTTGTGCAACCTTTTGTGTGGAAAGTGCTATTTGGAAATGCTATCTGTTAAATCCTCTACTTTGTCCCCTTTTAGCTGTGGCTCGAGCTTGCTGTTCTTTGTTATCTAAGGTCTTAACAGCTTCTCATTTTGACATTGAACTACAAATAAATCGATAGGTGTATTTATGTGTTAACCATTTTTTATTTGTAGCTGGTAGGAAGTGATGATAACAAAACTGCTATAGTTCAGAAGGTGGGTCTTGATAGACTAATTAAACTATCATCCAGATTTGCGGATGATCCCTCTATTCTCCAAGAGGTATTTGATGATACTAAGCAACAAAGGACGGTATTGATACTAAACATGACCTTGTATTGATACTAAACAAAGAGAAGAACCAATCTCACAACATCAAACATAGGAATCAACTAAATTTCCTTCTTTTACAAAAAGAATCTCTCTTCTCAAAATGCTTAGTTTAAAACCCAATTTAAAGTCCCCATCTACTCATCGTCAGTAGGGGCGTTTTTGCTGTGTTTTCTTGTTGTCTTCTTGTTATCTCTTGTTGTCTCTTGCTGCGTTTCCAGTGAGCTCCAGGACCTGATCAAAGTTCCAACCACCTTACAAAACTACAATTTTATCTGTTGGCACCGTATCTTGAAGAGAACCAAGTTCAATCTAAAATGGCAGCAAGAAGAAAAATTAATAAATGTAGAGCAGAGGATAGGAAAAGAAGTGATAAAAGAATACACAAATGAAAAACAAAACAAGAAATTGATATCCCTGGTGTTTAATTTCTATAAACTACAATAAACACCAGAATTATATTAGCTCGAGACTTAGAAAGTTCCTTAACGCCAATGCAGAATCAATATACAACTCTATGCCTAAAATGCATTCTCTGGGGAGGTTAGTGCGCAGGGAGTCGTAGAGGCTCATATGCACAACGTACTAGGTCGGATCCAAACATAGCAGGTCAGATTCGGTTTCGGGGCTGTAGATCCAGGTTCCTCCGACCCCGGTGCCGCGCTCGAAGACGATGATGCTGTGGCCCTTGCGTTGTAGCTCTCTGGCAGCGATTATTCGGTTGATGATTTGTTTTTGGCGGGAGAGGCGGAGCTCGGCATGCGGAGGGGAGTGGTAAGCATGCGGGGATGACCATAATAAACACTAAATTTTTTATTTTTTTTGTCTTTTTTTTATGGGGCGGGTGCGTGACGTTGGCAGAGGAGGAAGACACTTGGTTCTATCCTCGTCTTGGGCTTCTTTTTTTTTCGGTGACAGTTTAGGAGATCTGCCGATTTGTGGAGAGAGAGAGAGGGGCTGAAAGGATAAGCGGCTAAGGTCACGGAGCAGTTCACGGGACCATTTAATTACCCGCCTCTGTTGATTTGCGTTTTTTACAAAAAAAACCAAGTCTTGCTTCAGATGCTACCGCACTAGTGCGCCACCTGAAATGCCATTCCTCGTTCTGTGTGTTAAATTTATAGTACTTATATATATTATGACTATTTAGGTATAGTATTTAGTGTACGTAAATATATTATTATATACGTATATATATATAGTAGTATTATAATGATATATATATATATATATTACAATTTTTTATGATAACTATCTTGCTTTGAATATATAGTATGGTGTGAATGATACGTGATACTATTTTTGCGACGCCCTAGGATTCACACAAGACTACAGTCCATGGTGAAACCTGGATTTGTCAAAGCTACCAAGCACCAACACCATGCTACGTTATGTTTTACCACCACAGTTACTATCTCTCTGTTTGCTGTGAAAGTTAATATCTTCATTGTTGAATCTATTACACGTTTATCGATTACAGATTCAAAGTAAAATTATTCTTTTTATAAGACTTTCTTACACAATGAAAATAAAAAAAATGCAACTCTCTTCAAACAAATACAACGGGTGTTTATCGTCCGCTACTTGCGTGGGATCTTGGCCTATGACGGGAATGTTGATATCCGTGGACCACCAAACGATCAGATTAGATCCGAAGCTTCGTTTATTCGTGAAGGAATCAAGAAGCCGACGTGCTTATCTCGACAACAGCGAGATAATTGCTCTTCTTAAGATCACCGCAACGGGGTAATATTAAGGGACGAACTGGGCTGTAGATCTGATGAACTCCTCTTCTTTATGCCGAAGAATCTGCTAAAGTCTCCGTCTCCTCTTTGAAATTCGTGGCTCTTCAGTCCTCAATCCGACAGGGCTTCCCCAACGCTCGAGAATTCCAGATCCGAAAAAATGAAAGCCCTTGGGCTATATTTATAGGCTTCAGGAGTCCTGTGTTAGGATAAGAATGACCGATTCCCTCTTATCTTCAGTTGAAACCACATGACCGTATTATCAGATCAGTTGGAGCAAATCCAGGCAGTTAACGATCGAAAAAACCACCGAAAACAACAAAAATCAAGATTTTCGTGTTGCAGACACTTATGAGTGTCTCGGTATGGCCGAGACACTTGGGAGTGTCTTAGCTTGGCCGAGACACTTGTAAGTGTCTTGGCCAATCCAAGGCACCTCGGGGTGTCTCGGTTTGGTTTTTTTTATTTTTGGCGCGTCGAGTTTGTTTCCACCGTATATTCGTTGTCTAGACTCAGAATTACACGGTTTAAGATGCATCAGAAAGCCGACGAGGATATCTATGGGCTCCCATGATTGAATCATATGTGGAGTAAATGGGACACAAGGGGTTCTCCGTCTTTCGTAAACGACACGGGGCTCCAGATCAGCTCTTGTTTTCGTTATTCTGAAGTTTTGTTGCTTCGTATGATCCGTCGACTCACTTCATACATTTGTCGTTGTCAAATAAGCTTCTGTAACTCTAATAGCAATGTTCATCATCTTCTCCCTGTCTCGAGCCACATGTAGGGATCTATGGGCAAATTTTAACGCCTATAGATAGCCCCTCCAAAGTGTTTCAGTCTCGTTTCTTTTATACATGAGCCTGAAATACTTTGGATATGATCAGTACAACCTTCAGTCAGTATATAAGGACCTATAATTAGCTTTGATTCTTGACTCCTTCGATTTTCGATCTATTCAATATTTTGACGAATAGCTGAAGTTCTCTCGGCGCTACGTTTATCTTCTGGTCGTCGTCAAAGTCTTGAATCAAAACTGGTGAGTTCAATTTGGCTCGTATCATTGAGTTGACTTTGAACTGACCATCTCCATCACAATATATTGACTTGCGTTAACTTTTATCGCAATGCGTTGAATGGTGTTGACCTAGAGTTACACGTTGATCGGCGTTGACCTAGGGTTTCGGATCGCCCGACGTTAACATAGTTTATACTTGTATGTTTGCTAGAGTATACATAGTTTAAGCTCTTAAGGTATTGAAGCTTGGCAGTCCTAACAGTTAGGGTTACAAGATCAACTGTCAAAGCAGATTCGTCTGCAGATATAGATCTTATCCCGAAGTTGTTAGATGCTCGAGTCATGAGACTAGTTAATAAAGTTGGTGCGTCAATGACTTTCACACTTATAGGATTTTTGATAAACCCTCAGCCATTAACGGATTTGATGAGCATTTACCGACTACCGTTTGAGTTAGGCTAGTATGCAGATTGTTTAAATCTGTTCTGCATGTAATGTTATGCTAAAATAGTTAACTCTCCTAGTGCTACGATATTAAATACATAGACTTCGTCTTTCTTACAAGAATAGACTACCCAGCAACACGTGTTAGGCGCTGACTTATCCCTACTTTGGCTTCGGGATAAAATTCCTCAGACTGGAATTCTGGTGTCTTTTTCAATCGGTTAAAGACTAAACCGACAACGCGTGTTAGATGTTGACTTATCCCTACTTAGGATTCAGAATAAAATTCCTCGCGCGTGTGAAGCACGGATTTTGGTGTTGTTAATAATAACCTGCCATAATATCGAATATGTGGGCTTTTATCCATTTTATGGTCAAGGACTAACCGATAACACGTGTTAGGTGCTGACTTATCCCTACTTAGGCTTTGGGATAAAATTCCCCAGACTGGAATTCTAGTGTCTTCTTCAATCGGTAAAAGACTAAACCGGCAACACGTGTTAGGCGTTGACTCAGACTGGAATTCTAGTGTCTTCTTCAATCGGTAAAAGACTAAACCGGCAACACGTGTTAGGCGTTGACTTATCCCTACTTAGGAGTGTCTTCTTCAATCGGTAAAAGACTAAACCGGCAACACGTGTTAGGCGTTGACTTATCCCTACTTAGGGTTCGGGATAAAGTTCCCCGTGCGTGTAAGGCACAGCTTTTAGAAGTTGAAGGATGAGAGAGGAAGAATTTTATATTCTATCTTCCGAAACCGAAGAGGAAGAATTTTATATTCTATCTCCAGTTGTCAAGAAAACTCAAAGTGGGATATCCACCCTAAGAATCCGAAAAAGTAAAACTAGGAGTGGGATCTCTACTCCGAGAATCAAAAAAATTCAAGCAACCCTAACTTTTATAGGATTTGTTGCTTAATCCAAAAAAAGAACTCCTCATTTATTATGGTGAAATTTCGATTTCGACCCTAACTTTTATAGGTTTGGCCGAATAGGAAAAGATGAAAGTCTTTTGTTTATCAAAAAGGGCATTCTGGTCTTGATCCTAACTATCTGCAGGTTTGACCAAGTAAGGTTGGAGGCAATCCTAACTTTTATAGATTTGATTGCTCAAATTGAAAGTGGACCTCTCGTTCATGGAAGGAATCGAGAGGGAATTTTGGTTGTGGTCCTAACTGTTTAAAGGTTTGACCAAGATGGGAATTTGAGACGACCCTAACTATTTAAAGGTTTGATTGTTCAATTTGTGGACCTCTCGTTCATGGAAGGAGTCGAGAGAGGATTTTGGTTGTGGTCCTAACTATTTAAAGGTTTGACCAAGATGGGAATTTGAGATGACCCTAACTGTTTAATGGTTTGATCGTTCAATTTGTCGACCTCTCACTCATGGAAGGAATCGAGAGGGGATTTTGGTTGTGGTCCTAACCAAGATGGGAATTTGAGATGACCCTAACTGTTTAAAGGTTTGATTGTTTAATTTGTGGACCTCTCGTTCATGGAAGGAATCGAGAGGGGATTTTGGTTGTGGTCCTAACTGTTTAAAGGTTTGACTAAAATAGGAATTTGAGATGACCCTAACTGTTTAAAGGTTTGATTGTTTAATTTGTGGACCTCTCGTTCATGGAAGGAATCGAGAGGGGATTTTGGTTGTGGTCCTAACTATTTAAAGGTTTGACCAAGATGAGAATTTGAGATGACTCTAACTGTTTAAAGGTTTGATTGTTCAATTTGTGGACCTCTCGCTCATTGAAGGAATCAAGAGAGGATTTTGGTTGTGGTCCTAACTGTTTAAAGGTTTCACCAAGTAGACAGTGGGAGTAGGAGTACAAATCACAATGGGAGTATTGACTTGTACAAGTCGCTTAGAGGGGGTTCCTAGTGTTAAGTGACAAATTCTTAACCCGGAGAGGTTTGATAATTGTCAATAATCAGGACATTAAAACTCTGAATACCATGTCCAGACTCTAACAATAAGAATGTTGAGTGCACAGATGTAGCAGGAGTTTGAGTGGGAGTTTCTTATTCATCACCTTCTTTTAGTGACCGGGTTATCCCTAAGAATACACTATATAGAATTCTCTCGGGAACTTCCCGTTATATGAATTATCTATCCCCAGCTTTCTTCGCGAAACTGGGTCTAACATTGTACTCAGTTGCATGATCGGGTTATCCTTAAGAATATCAGGCATGGTACTCTCCAGGAACTTCTCGTGAAGGAAAGGAAACAGTTTAGACTCATATACCTATTGGAGTATCAGGGAGCAGTTTAACCTCTTATATCGGTTGAAGGATTAAGAAGCAGTTTAAACTCGTATACTCTTCGGAGTGGTGCACCGTCATTCGGCTTATTCTAGCTTTATGGCGCCAGAGTTGATTAGAGCTTGAATCTTATTCTTTAGATCGAAACAAATCTCAGTAGGATGGAGATCCCTCCTGTGATACGCACTTTAGTTTAGGTCCGTAATTTTCTTAGCTCCCTCCTAATCTTTAATAGGTGGTATCTCAA